AATAACAACAATAACAAGTAAAATAATAATGATAATGATAATAATAATAATAATAATAATAATACCTATAAGAAATTGAGAAAAAAAACAACCAAACATTAAGAGGAGGAAAATAAATGTACGAAAAAAAGAGAAAAATTATGCATAAAGAAATTTAAAACTTCCACTTTGTCCTGCGAGCGTATAATCAATGGCATTTATGTAAAAATTGTTTGAAGCCTAGAATGCCCTTTATATGGTGGCCTGAATCTCCTTCTCCACAATGGCTCTGTACTCGTCAAAGCCGCCCTCCATGCAGACGACTTGCTTTTCCCCACACACCCACAGCTCGGTGCACACCATGCGGATGAGTCGCTCGTCGTGGGATACAAGGACCACGCCTCCCTGGGTTATAAGAAAGGGACAAAGGGAAGATTACTGAGCTGAAGGTAAGGGTGAACTGCAAGGGTAGTAGTCATGATAATTCAGAGATACAGATAGACTTTTTACAATAGGAGAAGGTAAAAAAGAAAAAAATAGAGGATGAGATACATCGATGGAGAAGAGAAGGAGACAGTGACAGTAGAGAGAGACAGGCATAGTTAAAAATCAATGATGAAGGAGGAGGTAGAGACAGAGAGAAAGGAAGACAAAAAACGTACCTTGAACTTCTGTATTGCCTTCCCCAGAGCTTCGATCGTCTCAATATCTAAGTGATTGGTCGGTTCGTCAAGAATGAAGAAGTTGGGATTGCCCATGCAAATCAGTGAGAAGGCCACTCTGGACTTCTGACCTCCTGACAGACTGGCCAGTTGCTGCACAGCCAAATCTCCACTAACGCCAAAAGCACCAAGCTGACGGCGATACTCCTCAACTGGTTTTCCTGGAAAAAAGAAAGAAAGAAAAAAAAGTTAAATACATAGCATATAAATAAAAGGGAAGAGAGAGAGATATCACCCTTCCTCTGAAAGTATCCATCTTCATTTCCTTTGTTTTCAACATTGTACAAATAAAGCTACTATATATGTAGTCCTCTATGAATACAACCACAATACCCAAAAAACAAATAACAATAACAAAACTTTGACACTACAGCTGCAGTAGCCAAGTCACCTCATACCTGGGTATTTGCTCTGCAGAAGTTCGACAGGACATAATCGCATATCCAACTGGTCCACGTGATGCTGGGTGAAGTAGCCTATTCTTAACGATCTGCAGGAGACGAGACTCTGTTACTTATCAAGTGAGGTACTTGTTTTCTTTTTTTATCTTTCAGCAAGTAATAACTCATTATTGATACTGAGGCGTTTAAGCATGAGCAGGAGGAGAATACGGAAGAGGAGAAGGATGAGGAGGAGGAACAAGTAAAGGAGGATCAGAATTAATGAAAAAGGACGAAAAACAATGATGAATAAATACTGGTTGAATTTACTGGAAAATGAAGAGTTTACATGTGGAATTAGTGAGAGAATAATGTATAAAGAACATAAGGAATGTGATATGAATCAGGAAGAGAGAGATAACAAGTCAAAGAAAGAAAGAGAGAACAGGAGGAAGAGAAGATAGAGGAGGAGAAGATGGAGGAGGAGAAGATGGAGGAGGAGGAGGAGGAGGAGGAGGAGGAGGAGGAGGAGGAGGAGGAGGAGGAGGAGGAGGAAAAGTGAAACAAACGACTTACCTATTACAGAACCTGTGTCCCTTTGTGGGAGACAAGTCACCAAGCAAAATCTTAAGCAACGTTGTTTTTCCCGTACCATTTTCACCAACCTGGAGAGGGTCATCACATTAAAATACAGATACAGAATGAATAATATTAACCCATATGCCCCGGATTTATGTTTTGTCCCCTGTAGTTTTTGGTGAATTTTGTTACATACAGATGGCTCCACATGTACTTAGCCGGCAAGGAGTCTATCAGCAGGCCCTAGTTACCGACCCTGATTCTCACATTCATTGAATTGGCGGGAAAATTTATACCATTGCTATCGATACTGCTATTATTGTTATTGATGTTATGATTATTAAATTGTTATTAGAATATTTTTGACAATGAAATGATACAAAAAAACCTTTCCTAAAGTGAAGGAAAAGGGTAAACAGGTGAAATAGGTAGTTCTTGATAACTGGCTATTTGGTGATTAAGAACTTGTGGAGCCATCTATGTGTAAATACAATAAATAAACATGTATCAAAGTGGGTATGGCATCTATTCTTGCCATGTGTGGTGAATAGGTTAATCATAATAATAATAATAATAATAATAATAAAAACAACAAGAATAACTGACCCATAATCTTTGCTAATATTCAAGGTCTTTGTTTACATGTAACTATTCTTTTTAAATTATCATAAGCCAAGCTGTTTGATTTATCCTTTTCAAAAATATTATGTCATTCTTGTCCTTTATATTCCAACTTTATTTCATGAAGATCTAACATCAAGTTTATTTTGGCCTAATCACCAACATTAACCCAATGACGCCGGGTGTACTAAAGGAAAATAAAACTCTACGCTCTGGCAAACAAAGGCAGCGCGCCGACTTTGAGCGCAGGAGTACGGGGCGTCAGCCCGAATCACTGGCTCGCCGCGCTTTGGCGCGCCGCCGGCTGGTTTGGCCGCACGCCACCTTTCGAGCGATTTGTTTACACGCGTATCGCCGTCACCCGGCGGCAAGGGGTTAACTATGATTACATTAATCTTTAGTTTTACAGTTATTGCACGAGAGAGAACATAGAACATATCTTGGCCTACCAGCTAAAAGCCCGCACCGATAAGACTATGTACAAACAGATAACACCCTGAATACAGTAAATTGCACACACTCTTTGAACCATCTTGTATTTGTACCATAAGTAGCTTATGTGATTTATGTTACCTTTAAATAGAAGTAACAACACATTTCATTAAAAGAATCTTAACCACAAATCAAAAAATCTCTGAACAGTTCAACTCCCCCCCCCTTAACACACAAACTTCCTACTCACAATACATATTCTCGAATCCATGGCAGCCGAGAGGTTGACTTTGCTGAAAATGACTACATCCTTTTTGTAAGAAAACTCGACTTCGTCTAACTGCAGGATCGGCGAGTTCAGCTTCTCTGCCTCTGGGAACCTTAGTGTTACAATTGTTTCTTTTTCTACGGGCTTGAGTTCTGGGCTGATGAAGAGAAAGAGAGAATGAAAAAAAAGAAAAAGAAGAAGAAGAAAAGAGATAATGTTAATTATTATATAAACAGTTTAATGGAACAGGTTTCAAGTATGAACATATTATTTAGAATTTCACAAAACTGCTCTTTTTAAATGGCTAATGGCTAATATAGAATTACTGGACATTTTGAAATCCTTTATATATATATATTAAAATTGGCCTTTTATACAACCCTGTTAGAAATGAAGGACCACAGTATTTAAATCTTTCTATATGAAATGTAAATACATTTTGAAAAATCCATTTCCAAAATAAAGGCAATCAACACAAAATAACCAATCACACTAATGCTTACAGCTTTTCCAGCATTTTAATTTTTGACTGGACCAATGATGCTCGCTTGGCATTGTATCTGAACTTGTCAATGAATTCCTGGACGTGCTGCCGGAACTGCGACTGGGCCTCGTACTCTCTCTGCATGTTCTTGTGTCTCTCCTCCCTTGTCGTGGAAAAGTTCTCGTAATTGCCCCTGGAAAGGAGGAAAGAAGAGATGATAAGTGATAAATAGATATAATTCAAATAAAACACACTCTCACTCACTCACTCTCTTTGTCTCTCTCTCTCTCTCTCTCTCTCTCTCTCTCTCTCTCTCTCTCTCTCTCTCTCTCTCTCTCTCTCTCTCTCTCTCTCTCTCTCTCTCTCTTGTAATTCTTGAAAGACTCATTATGAAATAGGAAAAACATCAAGAAGGAAAGAGGTCATCAGAACAGAAGAACCAGCTTCTGAGAAAGGGGATAAGAAGTGACACTGTACTAATACTTACTTATAACTGTCTATGGCCTGTGAGTGGAGGTGCAAAACATCTGTCGGAACCATATCTAAGAAGTGCCTGTCGTGGGAGACTACAAGAAGCGTCGTTGGCCAGGTTAATAAGTAGTTCTCAAGCCATATAATGGCCTTCATATCCAACATGTTCGTCGGCTCGTCAAGCAGCAGCAGGTCTGGTCTGTTGAGAGAGGCAAAGTGAATGAGCTCTGAGAAAAAAAATATTGAGGATTACAGTATAAATATATTAACCCAAAGCCAACAGGCATGGCGAGTTTACTTTATTAATTGTTTTTACACATAGATGGCAACACTTGTAGTAAGTAACCAATGAGAGAATGACATGTACTGCCTGTCTTGCCTGTTTACACTTTTCCTTGATTTTACATTATCTTAAATTGCTGTTACTTATATCAATAACATTATCGTAATTATAATGTCCACAATAACAATAACACCATCGATTTTCATAGCATTAGCATAAAAAAAAGTCTACTAATTGACTCCTTTGTGGCTAAGCACTAGCAGAGCCATCCATGTGCAGTGACATTTAACCAAAAATTTAAAAAGGAGCATAGCATTTTAGCTGGCAACCTTGAATTAAATTTCAGTAAATTAAGTAATTAAATATTAGTTGAAAAAACTGAACAATTCATAGAAAATATATCTTAATTTCAGATCAGAATATTTCTTGTCCTTCCATAAAAAGACAAATAAAGAGAATGGAAAAAAAAAAAAAACTTGATACAACCAATTAAGCTAATGGTGATGGGTGAAGAAAACGAAAAAAAACTCTACGCTCTGGCAAACAATGGCGACGGGCCGACTTTGAGGGTGTGAATTTGGTACATCAGCCCGAATCACTGGCTCGCCACTGTGGCGTACAGCCGCATGCCAGCTTTCGAGCGGTTTTCACGCCTATTGGCGTCACCCGTCAGGAAGGGGTTAATAGCAATTCCCCAAAACACTCCTCCACATCATCCAAAACTGAATTCCAGTCCTCCCAAAAACATCCAGTGATTAATCAATATACTCCAACAACACCCAGTAATGGATTCTTATCCTTCAACGTCATCCAAAAAAGAATTCTTATACTCCTTAAGCATCCAATGAATAATCCCTGCCCTCTAACAACACCAAAGGATAGATTCTTATCCTCCAACATCACCCAAAAAATACTTACTGCGTGAACAGTGCTCTGGCCAGTGCGATCCTCATTCTCCAGCCACCGGAGAACTCGCGGGTCTTCCTCGTCTGCATTTCAGGGTTGAAGCCCAAACCGTTCAGGATGACGCTGGCCTTGGCTGGGGCCTTGTCTGCCTCAATGGCCTGCAGCTCGGCATACACTTCCGACAGCTGGGAGGACAAGGTGTCGTCTGTGTCCCTAGAGAGTGACGGTGAAGAGAATTAGCGGTGGAAAGAATTTATCAGGTTTGCTCTTAACTCTGCATTCACTCTCTACATAATGAACCGAGTCCATAAGAGACCAAGGTGTGGCTGTTGCGGAGTTACAGTCTCTCAAATAGTATGGTTAAAACTTTGTTTTACCCTTACTTACTGGAAAATTACAGGCTTATTCAAATAAGGGAAAAAAGAAATCCCTACAGAATTTTAATTTAAAGGCTTGTTCCTATTGTGCTGGTACTTTCAATAACCATTTTTTTTTCTAATAAAATACCTACAGTAATCCAAGAGTAAGTATAAAATGTTCCACGAGATCAAAGACAAGTTAATTCAGTGAATCCTCAGACTCTGTACCAACAAGCAGAAGAAAAACAAGAGGCGAACTTCAACAATAATGACAAGGAGGAGGAAGTTCAAGATAAAGAAGACAAAGGAAAAGAACAAGAAGAGCAAAAAGAAGGTAAAGAAAAGAAAAGAAAAGAAAAAGAACAAGAATAGCAAAAAAGAAGGTAAAAAAAAAGGAAAGAAAAAAAAAAAAGGAAAAGAAAAAAAGAAAAAGAGAAAAAAGAAGAAGAAGAAGAAAAAAAGACATGGAAAACAATGAATAAGTAGAAAAAGAAGGAAAGAGAGAGAAAAAAAAGAGAAAAGACAACAAATATCTTACCCATTTGCTATTCTTGTCTGCAGCTCCTTCTCTTTGTCTAGGAGATTCTTACGTTGAGTATCGCATTCAAGTACACTCTCTATTGCTAAGGTGTCGTCACCAACCACTTCCTGCTCGACGTGTAACACCGAGATGTGCCCAGGAATGCGCAAAGTCCGACTGTGTGAAAATAAGAAAAAGAGGCGATGTTATCAAAAAAGAAAAAAAGAAAAAAGACAGAAAGAAAGAGAAAATAAAAGGAGAAATTTGCAAGTACTAATATCATTGGAATAAGGAACAAATTAAACAATCCAAGTAAAAAAAGGTACTGGTACAACAAATTTTGTCAGTAAAACAAATATGATATCTCACACCCTCCCCCTCTCTCTCTCTCTCTCTCTCTCTCTCTCACACACACACACAAACACACACATACACATAAACACACACATACACATAAACACACACACACACACACACACACACACACACACACACACACACACACACAAAAGAAAGAAGGAAAGAAGGTATATCAAAGAGGACTTACCTTGCAATCATCCGTAAAAGAGTAGTTTTCCCAAGGCCGTTCCTGCCCACTAACGCATATCGTCTTCCGAAGGCTAAAGAAATTGTTGCATTTTGAATAAGCACTCTGCAATAACAGAGAGCACATTATGAATAAGCTTCCCTACATAATTAAAGGAGGGGGGGAGGAGATAAGACTGCTTATGATGTATGTAATAATGATTAAAAACTCCATACATCATAATATAACTATATAAATATAATTTTCAAGATGATCTAATATTAACATACATAAAAAGAGAAGAAAAAAAAAAGAGAGTTTAAAAGTTAATACCAAAGATCTTGAAGTAATGACAATTACATTTAATTACCTGTTTGAGGAAAAATGTCTAAAGGCTTCACCTAAAATCAAACTACATCTACACGTACTTTTCTCCATATGCTACATCGAAGCTTTCTATTCTGATGTCCTTTGTATTACAGCTACCTTTGGCGTCCAGCGCTCGGTCTTTTTTGCTTACAACCTGCAAGATGAAATTTACATCATCACTTAATGCCTTCACTGTGAGAATCCTCTTTATCATTGTTATAATCAATCCTATTGTTTTCTTTTATTATTTACATTTACACAATATCAATTAAAAAACAAAAGCTTCAATATCATTAGCCGAGCCTTTTTGAAGTCATCTGTGGTCCAAAAATTGACAAAAAATCCATTACAGTACCCTTATACAAAGGGTTAACCCATAATCTTTAAAAAAATTTAAATAAAAAATAAAAACTAAAGAATTCAAAATATCTCAAACTTGAGTACCATGGCAGTGCTAATTCCACATGATTACAAAGCAAACATCAAATAATTCACAAGACTGTAACAAAATTTAGTCTTATTAGATTAAAATAAATTCTAACAATGATCTCACCTGTGATGCTGTAGCCATTTCCATAATAATAGGAGCTTGTTCCTTCTTATCTGCATTTACTCTCTTTTCCTTCTTTTCTTTTAGTTTGGCCTCGGCTTTGTCTAGTTTCTTTTGGTCGACTTTCTGGAAAGATTGCGCTCTCATTAGCTCCAATAAAGGGTGAATGGCATATAAGCAAAGTAACCTGGACGTCTATTAGAAGCTAAGTACCACCGCAAAGCATCTATTGTGCTTCTGGAAAACACGTCAGACACACAGCCGCCAAGTAGGGTTGCGGTATCAAGAAAGACGTTATTCTTATAATGTAAAATGAAGAAACTGCTTGTTGACATGCATAGTGATTGATTTGGGAAATAGAGTTGGTCAACTACTTTAGTCATGAATGGATAAAGCAAACAAGAAATAAAAAAATAAGAGAAAGAAGGCTACGCAAAAGCGCACATACACATACACACACACCTAAACCATGGCCTCAAAGAAATCTTTACGAGGAAAAATAAATGACGTAACATGAGGCGCTACATAAGGAGAAAAGGAAAGAAAGAAAGAAGAAAAGAAAGAAAAGAAAAGAAAGAAGAGGAAGAAAAGAAAAGAAAAGAAAAGAAAAGAAAGAAGAAAAGAAAAGAAAGAAGAAAAGGAAGAAAAGAAAAGAAAAGAAAAGAAAGAAGAAGAAAAGAAAAGAAAAGAAAAAAAAAGAAAGAAGAAGAAAAGAAAAGAAAGAAGAAGAGGAAGAAAAGAAACAAAAAGAAAAGACAAGAAAGAAGAGGAGGAAGAAAAGAAACGAAAAGAAAAGACAAGAAAGAAGAAGAGGAAGAAAAGAAACGAAAAGAAAAGACAAGAAAGAAGAAGAGGAAGAAAAGAAACGAAAAGAAAAGAAAAGAAAAAAAGAAGAGGAAGAAAAGAAAAGAAAAGAAAAAAAGAAGAGGAAGAAAAGAAAAGAAAAGAAAAGAAACAAAACAAAAAGAAAAGAAAAGAAAAGAAAAGAAAAGAAAAAAGAAGAGGAAGAAAAGAAAAGAAAAGAAAAGAAAAGAAACAAAACAAAACAAAAAGAAAAGAAAAGAAAAAAAGACAAAGAAAAGAAACGAAAAGAAAAAAAAGAAAAAAGAAAGAAAGAAAAGAAAAGAAGAAGAAAAAGAAAAAAAAAAAAAAAAAATCGCAACCAACCAAAGTATCATCCCGTTCTCTTGACCAGACGGACTTGATGGCCTCATCTTCTACCTCCATGTTGGCAGCCATTTCCGCCAGCTGCACGGGAGCATCTAAGATCTTCCGTTCTATCGTGCCGTTAGACACCGTCAGGGTTGACATCACCTGGTCACATAATTTCCTGTTTATAAGAAAAATTGGGAAGAGAAGAATGTCTAGATTATTCCGACATTTTGAGGGAATCTATAAAAGATGATGATAATAGAGAAAGAGAAAGAGAAAAGGAGGAAAAAGAAGGAGGCAAAAAATATATATAAGAAATTTGAAACAGGCATTTCTGTGAACTACACTTGTAATTCTTTCTAAGACCAAAGAGCCTATATTTCAAGTAAAAACACAATATTCTGTGAAAAATTTAGATGTACGGTTGATCCATTTTAGGCACACTACTAAAACATAGCAATTGTGATGGGTGCAATATCCAATGCAGCCAACACTCTTATGACATATGACAGCCCTGGGAGTAGAGGAGGGCATGAAGTACAGCAGGGAAATGGTGGGGGAAAACATGCCCAGATAGAATTGATCTAGAACAAAATCACCAAGAAATCTTCATGAAATCTGCTCGACTCTATGGATACGCCCACTATCACAGAAAGCCTACAGTCTGAAATACAAACTCTTGAAAATACCTACAAGCATCCAACCCATCCTCAGATAAAGCCTATGGGAATATACACCACAATAAGTCTCACCTAAACTCCTCATAGGCAGGTGGCTCTGCTTCCCTGGTTCCTGTAAACTTTGTATAATATATTCTAACTATATATTGCCTAACCAGGGCCTTTGTCCCTGGAACCCTGAAGTTATCTTACTATATAACATTTCTCACTGGCACTTCAAGAAAGGAGGGTTCCAGAACCGTTATAAATCCTGGTCATAAAAATTTGTGCAGAAGCTTATTGTAAACAATTGTCTAACTTCAAAAACATTAGAAAAAGAAAGAAAGTAAATAAATAAATAAATAAAAAAAGAAAGGAAAAGAGTGAGAGAGAGAAAAAAAATCATCTTTATACACACAAGCTAACTGACATATCACAGTAATATGTTATGTGGTCAGTGTAGTACTTAAGACCACAGACTAAAGATCTTGAGCAAAAATTTGGTTGCAACAAGTTTACCTGCTTGTAATAAGTATACACTGTGAATGCACAATTTTTTTCCCCCCTTTCATGATGTTAATTAAACCATACAGAGTGTAACAATATCCTTTTCTTTCATATAAAGTACACATTAATCTCCTCCAGTTAACCCTCCCACCTGCCCTAAAAAAGAAAGAGTCATCAAAATCCATTTCAACTTATAATAAGGACATATACCTTATTTCATCCTCCCTTTCCACTCCAACAGCATCTGCTAGGAGGCTTCCGATGGCATCATAAACATCCTCACTACTTTCAAAGTCCTCTGTGCTAGTGAGAACACCTGGAAAAAGGAGAGGAATTCATTTATGTGTTGATATACCTAACACAAAATATCTATCTAATCTCTAGTGATGGGCGATACTCGATTGCACTCGATTACTTTGACTACTTTTGCAATCAGTAATCAGTTAGTAATCGCTTACTTTCACCTGGAAATAGATTATGCAGTGGTATATTAGTAAAGTATAAGGTATGCTTTATGGTTTTAGTGTAGTGTAGTGTAGTGTAGTGTGTGTGCGTGTGCGTGTGCGTGTGCGTGTGTGTGTGTGAGTGAGTGAGTGTGAGTGAGTGTGAGTGAGTGAGTGTGAATGTGTGTGAGTGAGTGTGAGTGTGTGTGAGTGTGTGTGAGTGTGTGTGAGTGTGTGTGAGTGTGTGTGAGTGTGAGTGTGAGTGTGAGTGTGAGTGTGAGTGTGAGTGTGAGTGCGTGAGTGTGTGCGTGAGTGTGTGCACACATGTGCATATATGTGTTTATATGTGAGTATGCTTGTGTGTTTGTGCGTGTATTCATGCATAGTGCAAGTGGGTATGTTTTTGTGATAATATGTGCAAAGGGTGGGACTCACTGATTCATCCATACTTGCAATGCTGATTTGACTCACCTGTTACTGAACCACAGTTCAGAATTTTGATTTTTCCAATTTTTTTTACTTTCTAATTGTCTCTTTATGTATGACATTGCCTATATTTTTCCTCTGCTGAAAAACCTAGGTTCCCAGGTTACTGGCTGGCATAATAGGGAATTAGTCTCAGAGGGGTAAGTTACTTCATTAACAACTACCCTAAAAACTACATTACATAGGAATCAACTGCTTATATCTAATGCAATTTGTCTCTCCCACTCCCCAAACGTAATTGTTTCCTACCTGTTAGATGGGATGTGAAGGGGTGTGCTAATAGAGAAACTAGACATTTGGAACTGAGCTGACCTTCAAATTTCTTTCATCTGACTTTAAAAGAAAACCTTAGTTCTCGCACAGTAAAAGTCTACAGCTTTTTCAGTTAAACCTTATGGTAAAGACACACTAGGCTAAGGCGAATTGAAAATATTCTTGTAGAGTACAAATAGCTACCGTCATCTTTACAAGAAAAGATCTTGAGATGTGAACAGTAATACTAAAAATAAAGGAAAAAGATAATGGAAAGCTCCACTCATTACTCTCAAGTTTCAGCTCTATCTTGCTATACATAGGTAAAGATAATCATTGCTGCAGGCCTATCAACCCTCCCATTGCGTGGTGCCCCGTGATTACATTCAGTTACGGTAACTTAGATTGTTGAATTAATTTTCTGTCGGGCAGTTGGTGACTTTGACTCTGGCGGGTGTGTCCTTACTTTAAAGAATGGCCATTTCTTGTTTGCTTGGGTCATACCAACAGACGGGTCATTATTTCAGAGGAGACTCAGTAAAATTTGGTCTTGAAATTTGGTTAAGTATTCGGCATTCGTGAAAATTCCTCCAATAATTCGTATTGTTATTTGGGAGAAAAATTGGAGCTAATGTAGCACTCAATGACATCAGCATTTTAAAACAAAGGCCTTGATTTCCAATTTGCAAACACCGCTAAAAAATGCATAAAGAGGATCCTGCAACAAAGGAAAACCAACTCATCCAAAGTCCAGATCCAAGTTTTATTCCTTTAATTTGGTAATTCCGAGAACTTTGCTGATTTAGCGAGATGAAAATACTTCCGGAGTGCACGTGCAAACCTCAGCTTCCTGGCCGGTGTGCAATGACGTGCAATCTGGCATAAAACAACGCCCCGAAGCCTTACTTTTCCGCCAGAATCGGATGCAATATATTACCATCACGAACCCGCTTGTGAAATTAAGTCGAGTTGGAGACCTAAACCCTCTTCGCGATCTAGAATTCCCACTCTTTGAATCAGAAGAGACGAGGACGGAAAATACAAACGACATAACACAAAAATGACATTCATCCTCACGGTAGTTCCATCGAAAGACTCAAAATACGCATAACTCACGCCATAAAACAAGCCACAACCCTTCTCCACTCGCACGAAAATGTACTCATTCACTCCCTGGCGATTTGCTATGGCCATTTACCTTCGACATATTGGAAAATTTCCTCATCAATGTTGGGAAATTTCTCCCTGACAAGCTGACTGGGGACTGCCATGTTTACACAGGAGGAGGAGCGGATCCGACACAGTTGGGGGAGATTGGTGTCTCTTTGTTAGCCTTTATTTTTAGGGTAATTTCACCTTTTCTGGGGTTATTTCGGGCTATTTTATCTTTTTATGTCAGTTACTTAGTCATTATAATCAGATAAGGCTGAGAATGGTTATTTCGACAGGGAGGGGAGAGATAAATTTTCATCAAAATTTGTATTAAAAAGGAAAAAAAAAAGTCAGAAAAGATTATCATATATGAACTATCATTTATAATACGAATTAATAAAATTTCAAGTAAAACACAAACAAGCTATAAAAAAAATAATTCAGATCAAGAGCTGAAAAATAATTTGATAATACTAATAAAACTAATAACAAAGATAAAAATGAACTAACACTAAAAATAGAGATAATATCGTATCAACAAAATAATAAATAATCTTAAAAAAAAACAAGAACTGGAAAAAAAATGATTTAAGCTTCTGGGAAAATTAAAGCAAAATGTACCGGATCTACAGACACGTTCCCCACTTCAATGTGAATTTTCAAGGGCATCGGGATCCCGCGGGAGGACTTTTCCCCTCTGAAGAACAAAAGCTTGAGAAAGATGTTTTTACATTTAAATTTTAAATCAGACACACACACACACACGCGCGCGCGCGCGCGCGCATACACGCTCACGCACACGCACACACGCACACACGCACACACACACACACACACACACACACACACACACACACACACACAAGATGAGAGAGAGAGAGAGAGAGAGAGAGAGAGAGAGAGAGAGAGAGAGAGAGAGAGAGAGAGAGAGAGAGAGAGAGAGAGAGAGAGAGAGAGAGAGAGAGAGAGATTTTAAATTCTCCTAAGAACGTAGAAATGTATTTTCGTTTTTATGACTTTTTCCTTTTCTTAGAATGTCGCTTTTCATCTTCCTGAAGAATATACATTTTCATCTCAGGACAATAACGTTTTATATCTTCTAAGAATGTGCCTTTTCAGTCAAATAACATTCTTCATCTAAGAACAAAGCCTCGTGTTCTAAAAATATGACTTCTACAAAGAATGTATTTTTTTCATCTAAGAATAATGTATTTTTTCATCTAAGCATAATATAGCTTTTCCATCTTATCATAATGTGGCTCACATAACATATTTTTATGTCATCTTACAAGAATAATATTTTTTTCCCATCTTATACGAACGGAACTTTTTATGAGAATGCAACTTTCATCTCATAACATAATATATCTTTAAAATATAGCCTTTTCATCTTATAAGAATATAAAATATGGTTTTGATCATGTATTAGTGTCATTTCACATCAATATTTGTTTCTTCATTATATATATATATATATATATATATGTATATATATATATATATATATATATATATATATATATATATATATTAGAACTGATAGGTTTTCATTTTGGAAGATTATTGCTATTACAACAAGAGGCAGCATCTTTATCTGCAATTCTTTATTATCGTCATCATCATTATTATGATCATTATTATTATTATTATTTTTATTATCATTATTATTATTATCATTATTATTATAATTATTATTATCATCATTATTTTTGGAGTCGGTGCCAACTTGTCCATATAGCTCCTCAACACGCATTCTATTTAGTAATACTTCATTTGGCAATTTAATGAGTTTTTAAGAGATATCTTATAATGAAACGCGCGTGAAAATGGTGCAAGAATATACAGAAAGGTATAACTTTTATTTTCAGGCTCAAAAAGAGTCAATAAAACTTAATACAATTGATATCATAGGCAGCACTGAAAAAGGGGTAATAAATGATCATTTGAAATTCTTCACGTGGCTTATAATTATCGTTAAACTCGTAAGAAGCTCTTCATGCTTATTTTCAAATAAGGAACAAGAACAATAACTGTAATAATAATGATAATGATGATGATGATGATGGTGGTGATGAAGATGATAATGATAATATGATGATGATGATGATGATGATGATGATGATGATGATGATGATGATGATGATGATGATGATGATGATGATGATGATGATGATGATGATGATGATGATGATGATGATGATGATGATGATGATGATGATGATGATGATGATGATGATGATGATGATGATGATGATGATGATGATGATGATGATGATGATGATGATGATGATGATGATGATGATGATGATGATGATGATGATGATGATGATGATGATGATGATGATGATGATGATGATGATGATGATGATGATGATGATGATGATGATGATGATGATGATGATGATGATGATGATGATGATGATGATGATGATGATGATGATGATGATGATGATGATGATGATGATGATGATGATGATGATGATGATGATGATGATGATGATGATGATGATGATGATGATGATGATGATGATGATGATGATGATGATGATGATGATGATGATGATGATGATGATGATGATGATGATGATGATGATGATGATGATGATGATGATGATGATGATGATGATGATGATGATGATGATGATGATGATGATGATGATGATGATGATGATGATGATGATGATGATGATGATGATGATGATGATGATGATGATGATGATGATGATGATGATGATGATGATGATGATGATGATGATGATGATGATGATGATGATGATGATGATGATGATGATGATGATGATGATGATGATGATGATGATGATGATGATGATGATGATGATGATGATGATGATGATGATGATGATGATGATGATGATGATGATGATGATGATGATGATGATGATGATGATGATGATGATGATGATGATGATGATGATGATGATGATGATGATGATGATGATGATGATGATGATGATGATGATGATGATGATGATGATGATGATGATGATGATGATGATGATGATGATGATGATGATGATGATGATGATAATGATGATGATGATGATGATGGTGATGAAGATGATAATGATAATACTGTTATCATTATAACAGTAGTAATGAAAATGATATATATTAAGTTTTTGGAACCATTTTCCATCTCCAAACCCATTAGGTATCAAGAGTTACCTATTGATATCTACTAACGAAATTTAATAAGAGTGTCAGCGTAATCAGTGAATCAGTACAATATGAATATACTATTTGTATCATGATTATTATCATCACTGTCATTGTCATTGCTATTACCATTGTTATTCTGTTATTATTATCACTGCGGCAAAATAGTTGTTTTTAGGACAATTAAGTTATAAATAATTATAGAATCTGATGTGGGATTGAGTGCAAACCATCCAAAACTCTATTAACATAAGCAACATATTAATTCTTGTACATGTAAATAGCCCACTGGGGCATTGGATGCCTTGTGTATTTAAGCGGTACGACAGTTTGACTCGATGGGTTTTCGTACGCCCGACAACGTCGTTGCTCCGCCCATAAGACTGGCGCTGCAGATAAAGCCTTAGGTTTTCATCTCAGAAGATAGTTTTTTTCGTGCTAGAAAAATAGCTCTTTCATTTAGAAGAATAGCTTCTTTTTAATGAAAATATAGGTTTATACTTTCATATGACCACTAAATGATTTTTCTAAATGATTACCAAATGATCTTTGGAATACTTTTTTTTTTTTTAGAAGGCTTTCAGATGATTTTTTAAATGATATTTTAAAATGATTTTCAATTGATTTTTTTTAGATAATTAAATGATCACCAGTTGGTACTAACTGAATGTGTTAATAAAATACTGTGCCACTCTATGGGCCCACAAAAAACAAGGGCCCATGTAGCCTTTATTTTTTGTTTTAGTTTTAGATGTTAACGGCAAATGAAGCCTTTGCTTTACTGAAATGATTTTGTTGGAATCGTCTTTGAGTGCCATGGGTGCCGGGCAGGATTATCCAACGGGTCAGTATAGGATACAGTATAAGATGCCATATGTATTTAAAAAAAGTAACTTAATCTGATTTAAGTTAAATTAATGGTTCGGCAATGCAAAAAAGTAGAAAAATTGCATTGCTGAATAATCAATTTGACTTGATTTAGATTCCCATGTGTATATAAAGAATGGAATATTTCGCAAGCAAAATTTTTCTTTGACTTCTTACTGCACGCACTTCTCCATAAATTAAGAGATACAGATATAATTCAAGATGTTATGAAATTTTTGGATGTAGACATAATTCATACGCTCACTGCATATAGTACATAAAGTTTATACATACAATCAGGTGGTAACCATGGAGTCAGAACAAATTAGAACTTCCAGACGTTAGTGCCAATTCGCTTACTGTGGAGCACCCGAAAAATAATGGTCAGCGGCATTGTTATTATTAATGATGTCAAATCGTTAGTTTTAGGGTAAGATGGATATGTATTTATATGTACTGTATTGCTCGATAATCTTGGGCTTGATAATTTGGTTGAGTTATAGCATGCAGGAAATATCATATATTGAGATGCATTGATACTGAATAAACTCAAAGTAGATATTGAATCAGTTACTCAAGATACATTTTTTATCTTGTACATCAGACTAGCGTTCCTGTATCCTCGAATTCCTCCATTATTCTCGCTAATGTTGTGGTTTACACCTTGTTTCACACTCAGCTGTATCGCAGAAAGAATGATTGTAGACATAGATCATTTCTGTAAAGGTAACCTCACACGCTTATAAACACAGTGCAGTATATCTAATACTTCAGGGTGCACATGGTGGTTGTGGGCGGCGCAGACAGGCCCGCAGTGTATCGCCAAGGGATCATGTGAACGTTACACACAAACCAGAATTAGACTGAAGTTGCTGTAGAGGGTTGTACGTGGATTAACTGTTGCGCTCTGCTTGGTAATACATTCAGTCAGTTCTGGCTTTGGCAAAATGTAAACGTTCTGTTAATACGATACTGTGTCGATGTGGCCTGTGTTGGTTAGATTTTACTTTGTTTTATTTATCTATTCATTAATTTTTGTTAATACTAAGTTTTTTTGTTAATAATAAATTCTTGCTAAAGCTTGAAACTGTTGTCTCCGAGATGAATAACCTTAATGTCATGTACATTAGGACTTACCAGGAACGATCTAAGATAAATGTTGTATTTAATGTGTGATTGATGTGCTTTTGTCTCAGATTGCTGATTATAAAAAACAAGAACAAGAGGACAAGCATATGAATGAGCTTAGGAGACAAGTATCACTGAAATACATATTATAGTAGAGAAGTTCCAACACTCCCTTGTGGTATCTTGGCATCTAATGTTCTCCCGAGAAGTATTCATTAAACAGGACAC